CCTCCTTAGTCATGCAAACTCTGGAAGAGTTGAAGAAAGAAAATGCTTTAATCCATGCAAGGCTGGATAAGCAGGAGGATACGAACAAAGATATTAAAAATATTATGGGTAAACAAGAAGACACCACAAAGGAAATCAGAGGCTTTTGGGGCAAGCAAGAAGAGTCAAATACTCAGATCAAGAGCTTGATGGAAGCGTTGTTCACACGTCTTCCCCCTCCTTCTTAGATCTTCTTTTAAAATTGTTTATCTGTAACTTTTATTTTTACCTCTTTGCTTCTGAAACTTGTCATTGCATTATGTTCTAAATATAATTCATCTCTTTTGGCTCTGATTATATTGCCTTTTTGATAACTGACAAAAAGGGGGAGAAAGTAAGATATTTTCAATAATGGTTTATCGAGACAGAAGTCTCAAACATTCTGAATTACTTAACCTCTACTTTCTGAAAAGTTTGAACATGTACAAATTCTGATAGGAGATGCAGCTAAAACTCTGATGAGAAGGAACTTAAGGGAAGTAATCAACTCAGGGGGAGTTTCCCTTAAACCTTTTGTTCTTTATTTTTCATTGAAAATTCTAGTTTTTGTCATCATCGAAAAGGGGGATATTGTTAGAACATAGTTTGATTCTACAACCCTTGATTAGAGTTTTGATGATAACAAATACAAAGAACAAATATGCATCCTAAAAATTATGTTATTTTGTATGCATAAGTTCTGACCAAAGCAGCATCAGAAGATAAGCTATAGAAGTTACACGCTGAAGCAATCAGAATTTACGTTGAAGATTGATGACTAGAACCCGCGCTTAAGTGAAGTAAACTCTAATTCTGAACAAGAGCATAATAAACTAAGTCATCAATGTGCTGAAGCATCAACAACAGGCTAGGATGAAAGATTATGAAGTGTTACTAATCATTCAAGACAACATCAATTACAACGACTTCATTCAGACAGGATCTTCTCCAAATGGAAACTGAGTTAATGACATTTATCATGCTTAATGATCAAACGGGAATCCATTGCCTATATAAACAAACTCAGTGATAAAATCTGTAACGATTTTGCTATATACTACTCACGAGAATTCAAAAAGCTGCAAGCATACTCATCATATTTCCACGCTCTAATTTTGTGTAAATTATCATAGTTGTGATAACAGTTTTTGTAACGAAAAACAACAATACACAGTACTTTTGTTTATTTGATTAAAACAGTGTTTCTTGAGATTAACCAGATTATGGTTGTACTCAAGAAGACTTTAACAATTGTTAAGGTGGTGATTGTAATCCTTTTGAGATTAGTGGATTAAGACCTCGTTGGAGAGAGGCGAAATCACCTTGACGGGTGGACTGGAGTAGTTTGAGATCAAACGAACAAGGATAAAAATATTGTGTCATTGCGCATTTGATTTCAAGTTTTCAATTCAAACTCCCCCCCTTCTTGTGTTTTTCACTTCTTCATGAAAAAGTCCCAACAGTCGGATCTTAGGAAGTGATGAAGAAGAATAAGAGAGTGTCTCTCTCCTATAGTGAGTTATTCACGGTTAATAAGGAAAATTTCACTTCCTTCTAAACTCTCTCATTGACTGGACCATCGTTACAAGCAAGGTGATTCTTTTCTTTTAAGAATCATTCAGTACAAGCAAAGTAGTTTTCTATTACTGCATCTCCTCCTCACAATTTGTGTTTCAACATGAGTCAATCATTCTAAAATACTAATGCGAGAAAAGGTACATTTGTTGGAAGGCAAGAGAGATAAGAGTACTGACCTAAAGAAGGTTGAATCCAAAGAAGAAACAATTGTTGGATCATCTATTGAAGCATATAGAACAAGGAAATAATGTCCATAACAAAGATGAAGTCAGTCAAGAAAAGTCATGCTCATGTACATGACTTTGACTCAGATGCTAATTGGGTCAAGTTTATTGACTTAAGGGGTTGGTCTGAATAGCTAGTTTGATAGATGATTATTTTTAGTTGGGTCTGTTAGTATTTTCTAACATTGTTTGCTTCCATTAGTTGTATTGTGTCTCCATATTTTTGTCTCCACCTGAGTTTTGTTTGTTGTCCCTTTTCTAGTTGGACCTGTTTTTGTTTGTTTCCATCAATTGGTTTTTGTTTTTGTCTGCTTTCATTAGTTTTGTTTTCATCTGCCTGTTTTAATTTCTAGTGTAATGTGTGTTTACATTTACTCTATTTTATCAAATTTTGGCTAAAAATGGGGAGTAAAAGTATTAGTGTTTTTGTCTGTTATGATGTTATATCACATTTCTTGACATGTTGATTAGCATGCTGATAGGAATGTACTACTGCTAAGGGGAGAGTAGTATATTATGGTTACTTATTGTATGCAACTATTTAGGGGGAGCATGATTGTATATCATGCTTGTTGGGTGTTTCTGCTTTTGCTGCTACTTCCGATGTGGTTGTGTGCAGGATGTCTTACCAGATGTTCTAACATCATGTCTGTTGTGTTTTGTGGAGAATCTTGGTTACCTTACGGTAGTCTAGGACTCTAATGCTCTGAGTTATATGTGTTGCTTCTACTGCATGTTCTTCTAATGTGTGACTTGGATAGTTCAAGGTTGAGTTCAAGGTTGATTTTCTTGTGCTTTAGTTTTTCCCCTTGAGAGAGAGAATCGGTTATATGTGACAGAGGTAGTATTGAACCTGTCTAAGCTTGGAGTTATATTGTGTGATGTCAGACCACATGTCTTGACATATGTCTGGACTTGTAACTGTATGCAATCTCTGATATATTTTTATGATTGCAGTTTGTACAAAGCTTACAAGTTTGCATGTAGCTTGTGTTTTATTAATATGGTGTTGTTCCTCTCTCTAGTTTAATTATGCTAAGGTTGTTTTAGTCAAAATTTTCCAAAGGGGGAGATTGTTAGATCCATGGTTTTAGGATTGACAACAATTTTGCTAAAACATGATTCTGGACAGATGTTGGGCAAGATGTCATAACATCTTGACCAAAATGATACAGCAGAATATGAGCTTACCTTGAAGACATATGTTCTTATAGATGTTGTGACATACTGTACCAGAACATCAGTACAGACTGCTTTAAATCTTGACATATTTGATTTGATTTTGTGATATTTCTTTTGGATATCATCTCAATGATTTGCGTAGGTCAAGAAGATTTAATCTGAAACAAGTGATCTAATCTCGAACTGTATATAAGTTTCTAAAATTGGATGTTGAGACAATTTAGGAAACTTGATATTTTGTTTCAAAATTTAAGGAGATTTTTTCTGCATAATTGGTGCAACCCTCAACTCGTGGATCAAGAAATATTTGGGTGAAGATTTCGAAGCCCATGGACTACTCAGGAGTATTTAAAGAGAAACCTATACCTAATGTATTTTAAGTCTTTCACAATTATAAAATCATGAGAGGTTTAAAGTCTTAGGTTTTGATAGTCTCATGTGTTTTTTGTAAGTCACCCATGTATCTTTTGATACAGTGAGGTAGACTGATTGTTACTTGATTGTTTATCAGGTTATTGTTCTTAGTATAAAGCTTTTAAGCAAAATTAAGTATTATTATCACTCATAAGCTTTTAAGAAGAGAGTTTAGTATTGTTTATTGAGAGTGTAGTCTTCTGTTTTGATTCTAGTCACTAGTTTGTGATAGTATTTATCACTGAGGTGATTGATAGGAAGTGAGAGGGGGATTTCATATTTAGACGGTTTCTAGGTAGAAGTTGCACAAGGTAGTGATTAGGCTAGAAGTTGTAAACTATGACTGTTTAGGCTTTGAATTAATATTGTCATAATGGATTTCCTTCCTGGATTGGTAGCCTCCAGAGTAGGCGACGTTGCACTGAACTGGATTAATAATCAGTTGTGTTATTTATCATTCTGTAATTTATTTCTACATATTTTACAGTTTGATATTATTGTTCTGTCAGTCAGATAATGTTATAACATCTGTCTCGATATTATATTATAATGTTGAGACATAAGTATTATCATATTTTAAAGTGCCATAATTTTAATACTTAATCGAATTAAGATTAATCAAATGCAAATTTGAATATGGTGTTTATGTGCAGGTCATGGCACAAGATATAACCATTATTTTCTTATATGTCGATGATTTGTTGATAATTTCTGAGGGAATTTCTCATTTTTAGCAACTAATTTCTGATTTTTAAAGAGTTAGAAGATTAATATTATATATTTTTATTTAAGAGATTAAATGATCCAGGTTAATACTAGACTGAAAAAACAATATTTAGATCTGAATTCGACAAAATCATAATGACACCTTAATTTTGTTAAAACTATGAAGTTTAGTTTTTACTCCGTTAATTCATTTCAAATGGGCACCGTATGTTGTAAGAACGCAAATGGAAAAGTAAAATGCTCAATTTCCTAGAAAATCACATAAGGATCGAATTCTAGTGATAATATTTACTCTAATAACAAATTCTAAGAAGACTTCTTTCACCGTGATTAACTCGTAATCTTGCAAGCGCGTCCAAATCTCCCAATCTTGTTTGATCAAATTCTTTATTTTCCAAATCAGACCTGCTCCCATCTTGTAGTTATCAATCTTGTAGTTATTAGTCGTGAGAGCTTCATAAAAACAGCTTAGAAAAAGAAGAAAAAATAACACAATGTATTCTCCCCTTTTAAAAATAATGTAACTTTTTAGCTATATTGTGAGATGCAGTAGATAAGCTTCACCATCTTATATATCATATAATTTCCAATGAAAAACTCTAAATTCATAGTTTGAGTATAAAAGCATACATTTCTACAATGGAGAGATTATACACCCAAAATCAAATAACAAAGCCTCACCATTTTTCTAAGAAATGGAGAAAATATCTACTCTCCCGTGAATTCATAAAACCTATTTAAACAGTATTGAGTACAACATAAAATATTCGAATTTGGGAAGTCCGATCTTAGCATCAAACTAACTGATAATAGTTGCATTTGAAAAGCATAAGAGCAAGACATAATCAACTAGTTTCCTCAATCAAGCAAATTGGAAACTGGAGTTTTCCTAAATGGATCAACTTCAGCAAATTGGTCAGATAAAGCTCTATTGGGAAATACGTTATCAGCTTTCATCCTCTCCCTAATCCCATTTGCCAGATGTTTGGCGTTTTTATAAGCCTGTGGTAGAGAATGGAAAGGAGTTATTTTAGAAATACTGTATAACCATAACCAGCCTGAAGACGTCAAACAAGTAGACAACACGGCTGGAAAAAACACCGGATCTCTGGAAAATCACCAGAAAAAAGTGGGATGCTGAAAATAGGAAGTTTGGCCGAAAGCTCAACAGAGGTGGGGCGGTACGGTTTTGTCCAATGGCACAACAAAAAGAAGAGTAAAGTGGAGCTTGTGTGCCAAATATTGACGTGTAGCGGTCAACCTGCAATGGCCACACAATCAAAACACAGGATAATATCTTGTATGATGCACGGAGGTCCCTGAAAGCATGATAGGCGATGTAACAAATTCAATTATCAATCACATCAGAGGCTAACTCTGATAACATAATGTATAGATGCAATTCAGCATAGCGCATAATCTGGGATGGACCGACATTTTATCAATGAATAGCTCATTTGTGGTTTGATTTGTACTGGTATGTACCTCAACAAGGCCACTGTGCAAACATTCATACCAAAGGATTGTAGTCCATATTTTGAAAGAATATTATGCAAGCTTGGAATGGGAAATAGCTATTCTCCAGCTTGGGAGAGTGTTGGAAACAGAGTCACGTTAGCAACAAGCCTAGACTCTTTGTACACCAAGCAAGTAGAATAGGTCCAATGCATGTTAATAAATAACAATAGTTTAATTACCCTCTGGAGTGAGTTGCTCACTTGAAACAGTAAAGTGGGTAATATAATATCAATTGTTGATGAATATATTGTTGGTTGATGAATATATTGTTGGTTGATATTATATGCACAATCATAACAAATCATGGATAGTAGAAATATCAACGGTTGATTTTCTCACTTAACTAACTATGTAGCTATAGACGCTGAACTGTGCCGCTATTCCTTCTCCTTTCGTGACCAGCCTCCGGGCCGTGCCGCTCTCTCGGGATAGCGGCACTATCGACTTCTCTGATATATACAACATATTAAGTTTAAAATTACAGACCATTTACTTCAAAATCTCACACAATGGTGACCTAGTTTGTCTCTCTACTAACAATTCAAATATCATTTTCTGTGGTAAACTAATTGTCCTTTACTATTCATATACATGCATTCTCAACAACACATATTCAAACTATGTAAGATGGGACTCTACTCTACTATCTTTTCTATAACGGAAAAAACAACCATAATTTTTCTCTAACAATTGTATTCCTAAACTATTACTCATCTATTGTAACATACTCATCTCTTTGACGCTAAGTTTACTATCTTAACATAAATATTTTGAATGTTAAATTGTATAAATTGGATACAAATATAAGTTTGATTCATTTACCAGCAAAGCCTTTCCATACATTTTACGCTTTCGAAGATTAACCAAGGCCAACCAAATCTCTTTCCTGCTTAATTCTTTACCTCTTGCAACCCACTTGTTCAGAGCAGAATCAACGGATAAACCAGAAACGTTTACAACAACCTTGAATAGTTCAGATTGACTCTTTGCACTCCGTGATTTTTTCTCAGCTGGAACACTCTTGGTATCCAACAACTCCAGCTCATATTCTGGTTTCTCGCCATCCTCGACACAATCCAACAGGCATGTTTCAGACTCAATGCTATCTCCATCTGCATCCAGCTCAGTCAACTGATCTTCAACCTCCATGTGATCATCATCATTGTCACCATCACCATCATCATCTTCAGTGCTACTAGCATCAGCTTGTGACAAAAATCCACACCTGCTCACAGTAAATTGCAGGAAAGCATCATCTGTGCGGTAAAATGTGTGGCCCTTTGATAGAAATCTACCATGTATCATTGGATGATAAACAAGAACAGCATCCCCGTATTCCACCAAAGTGTCCGACATTAATTTGACACAAGAAGCATGAGAAGTTCCTACCTACATTATTATTAAGCGCTTGGTTACTACAAACAATGCATAATAAACAATTAGCAAAAACTCCTGCATTTGTAACAAAAAAGTCAGCAACTAGCACGCAATTAAAATCAGGCACACAATGCAGTTTACTTAGATTAAGCAGGCATTGATCATAATAGTCAATCAAAAACCACTACACCAGAGTTAATAGTAGTTAGTTACAATGATACAATGTGAATAATTCATACAGGTGCTAAAAAATAAAAATAGAAGTACTGAAACTGGTTATGAAGAATGATGACTAAAAGTAAAGAAAAATGATGACAACAACAACGGTTGCAACTTACAAGTAATCCATGAAAGTCTGGAAATAGTGATGATGGAAGAATGAGTTTACCTTAAGCTGATGCGAATCGAAGTTCGACGAAGAGCCCACATGATTAGAAGAGAGGGGAAATGAGCGACAATGAAAAGCTGAACACTTAAAACCCTAAAAACTAAACCAAATCGAAAAAACCCTTCTAGTCTTATTTAATATCTCACATAAATCAACAGACATCTCTTAATTTGTGTAAATCAGAAGACAAAATAGTAAAGTGAATCAAAATATTCTATCATAGATCATTTGATTAGACTTGAATAAAATGCCTATAAGTAGGTCCAACAAATCATATCTGATATTCAATCCATAGTGCAAGAGAAAAGTTTTACATTATTCAAGGAAAAAAGGAAAATTAAAACGCTATAAGTTTCTTCCATCACAACCTTTACTTCATACATACATCATGATATAACTATTCTGACTCATACAACAATTCAAAAAAAAAAATCTCACAGCAGAAGCTCTACATTTCCTCTATCACTACTTCACACATCATGAATATAAATTATTCATTTTTTTATCATCTTCTAGATCCTTTGATCGTTAGAAGCTTCACGTTCCAGACGACGCCTTTCCCTCTGTAAATTAGATTAGGCAAAAAATAAGTGAAATTTACAAATCAGTTATATAAAGTGGCTCATACTAAATTACTCAAGGTTTTCCCATTTTTCAATTTGAATTGATTGGGAAAAAAATAAATAAGATGAATGGGAAACCCTAATATTGTATTGAAGAAAAATTGGGGAAAGAGAGACTTACCCTTCTTTCCCAGTAAGGAAGAAAGCAAACGAAATCATAGACAGGTGTAATTGTTGCACACAAAACTGCATTTAGTGAAGTGAACAACAAGAGTGCAATCATGGGTCTGGTTCTATGAGGCATTGTAAAACCTGCAATAAAAAAAAATCATATGCATCAAAAACTTTAACATTCCAACCATGACAGATAACAAGGAGAGTCCCAACCGCAGTGATGAGATAGCAAGGAGAGCAAGCAACACCAACTTTTCTTATTCCTTTTCATTTTCCCACAAATACACAAAAATATCTTCATCGTCAAAGATATACATAAAGAAGAAGAAAAAGAGAAGAGAACAATTGAAAACAAGAATTGAGAACCGAACAAAATTCTATGTCATAAATCTATATCAAGAATTAAAAATTATGATATCAAAATACAAAACATAAAATTTTGCTAACAATATCATCGTATCTTATTGTGTTATTAAACATTGATTTGAATTGAAACAAAATATATAAAATGATCACATTCTTATAATTTCACAATAAAATTTTAACTAATTATAAATACATTACAATCTTTCGTTAATATATTTTTATATAACTGTGTAAAAATATATAATAACTATATATAATTTAAATTCTTTACTATAATAATATTTTAGTGATAGTTTTAAAATAATTATTATTTTCAAGGTAACACTATATAAATCAAATTCTTTACTATAATATTATTTTTAGTAAAAGCCTTTTAAAAATATTATTATTTTTAAGATAACACTATTTTTTTTCAAATATTATTCTTAAAATATTATATTTAACATTTTAATTATTAAGTGGAAACAAGCAAGACTTAATAAGAATGCTTTTTGGTAAAATTATTATTATTTTATTTTTGTCTAGAATACTATTAATTAATTAATTAATTAACTAATTAAGTAGTAGTTATTATTTAGTAATAATAATTTAATGAAATCAGTTTAATTAAAATGAACAGTATTGTTTACTCATTTACCAAATCCCTTGGTATTCCCCTTCGGAGAGAGACAGAGAGTAGTGTTCTTCACTCCTTCAACGGTCTCACTGTCACCATCACCAACTTTCATTTTCGGTTCGTAATACTTCTTCTTCTACACAATTCAACTCTGTTTCGTTTTATCATCATTATTATTTTTTCTAGTTCAATTTTTCACTCTCTATGCTTTCGTCTCAGGGTTTAGGGTTTTGCAACCTATGCATCTGGAACAATTTTTCTACCGAATTTAGATTTAATCCAGAGTTATCAATTCATAAAAAGAGAAATTCCGATTTTATTTCTAAACGCAGGTCTTGTGAAAGTCGTCGCTGAAGGTGGTGATTCTCCTTGCTCTCTCATCACTGCGGTTGGGACTCTCCTTGCTATCTCTCCTGGTTGGAATTTGTTAAAGTTTTTGATGCATATGATTTTTTTTTATTGCAGGTTTTACAATGCCTCATAGAACCAGACCCATGACTGCACTCTTGTTGTTCACTTCACTAAATGCAGTTTTGTGTGCAACAATTACACCTGTCTATGATTTCGTTTGCTTTCTTCCTTACTGGGAAAGAAGGGTAAGTCTCTCTTTCCCCAATTTTTCTTCAATACAATATTAAGGGTTTCCCATTCATCTTATTTATTTTTTTCCCAATCAATTCAAATTGAAAAATGGGAAAACCTTGAGTAATTTAGTATGAGCCACTCTATATAACTGATTTGTAAATTTCACTTATTTTTTTGCCTAATCTAATTTACAGAGGGAAAGGCGTCGTCTGGAACGTGAAGCTTCTAACCATCAAAGGATCTAGAAGATGATAAAAAATGAATAATATCTATATTCATGATGTGTGAACTAGTGATAGAGGAAATGTAGAGCTTCTGCTGTGAGATTTTTTTTTGAATTGTTGTATGAGTCAGAATAGTTATATCATGATGTATGTATGAAGTAAAGGTTGTGATGGAAGAAACTTAGAGCGTTTTAATTTTCCTTTTTTCCTTGAATAATGTAAAACTTTTCTCTTGCACTATGGATTGAATATCGGATATGATTTGTTGGACCTACTTATAGGCATTTTATTCAAGTCTAATCAAATTATCTATGATAGAATATTTTGATTCACTTTACTAGTTTGTCTTCTGATTTACACAAATTAAGAGATGTCTGTTGATTTATGTGAGATATTAAATAAGACTAGAAGGGTTTTTTCGATTTGGTTTAGTTTTTAGGGTTTTAAGTGTTCAGCTTTTCATTGTCGCTCATTTCCCCTCTCTTCTAATCATGTGGGCTCTTCGTCGAACTTCGATTCGCATCAGCTTAAGGTAAACTCATTCTTCCATCATCACTATTTCCAGACTTTCATGGATTACTTGTAAGTTGCAACCGTTGATGTTGTCATCATTTTTCTTTACTTTTAGTCATCATTCTTCATAACCATTTTCAGTACTTTTATTTTTATTTTTTAGCACCTGTATGAATTATTCACATTGTATCATTGTAACTAACTACTATTAACTCTGGTGTAGTGGTTTCTGATTGACTATTATGATCAATGCCTGCTTAATCTAAGTAAACCGCACTGTGTGCCTGATTTTAATTGCGTGCTAGTTGCTGACTTTTTTGTTACAAATGCAGGAGTTTTTGCTAATTGTTTATTATGCATTGTTTGTAGTAACCAAGCGCTTAATAATAATGTAGGTAGGAACTTCTCATGCTTCTTGTGTCAAATTAATGCCGGACACTTTGGTGGAATACGGGGATGCTGTTCTTGTTTCTCATCCAATGATACATGGTAGATTTCTGTCAAAGGGCCACACATTTTACCGCACAGGTGATGCTTTCCTGCAATTTACTGTGAGCAGGTGTGGATTTTTGTCACAAGCTGATGCTAGTAGCACTGAAGATGATGATGGTGATGGTGACAATGATGATGATCACATGGAGGTTGAAGATCAGTTGACTGAGCTGGATGCAGATGGAGATAGCGTTGAGTCTGAAACATGCCTGTTGGATTGTGTCCGGGATGGCGAGAAACCAGAATATGAGCTGGAGTTGTTGGATACCGAGAGTGTTCCAGCTGAGAAAAAATCACGGAGTGCAAAGAGTCAATATGAACTATTCAAGGCTGTTGTAAACGTTTCTGGTTTATCCGTTGATTCTGCTCTGAACAAGTGGGGGGTTGCAAGAGGTAAAGAATTAAGCAGGAAAGAGATTTTGTTGGCCTTGGTTAATCTTCGAAAGCGTAAAATGTATGGAAAGGCTTTGCTGGTAAATGAATAAAACTTATATTTGTATCCAATTTATACAATTTAACATTCAAAATATTTATGTTAAGATAGTAAACTTAGCGTCAAAGAGATGCGTATGTTACAATAGATGAGTAATAGTTTAGGAATACAATTGTTAGAGAAAAATTATGGTTGTTTTTTCCGTTATAGAAAAGATAGTAGAGTAGAGTCCCATCTTACATAGTTTGAATATGTGTTGTTGAGAATGCATGTATATGAATAGTAAAGGACAGTTAGTTTACCACAGAAAATGATATTTGAATTGTTAGTAGAGACAAACTAGGTCACCATTGTGTGAGATTTTGAAGTAAATGGTCTGTAATTTTAAACTTAATATGTTGTATATACCAGAGAAGTCGATAGCGCCGCTATCCCGAGAGAGCGGCACGGCCCGGAGGCTGGTCACGAAAGGAGAAGGAATAGCGGCACAGTTCAGCGTCTATAGCTACATAGTTAGTTAAGTGAGAAAATCAACCGTTGATATTTCTACTATCCATGATTTGTTATGATGTGCATATAATATCAACCAACAATATATTCATCAACCAACAATATATTCATCAACAATTGATATTATATTACCCACTTTACTGTTTCAAGTGAGCAACTCACTCCAGATATATTCATCAACAATTGATATTATATTACCCACTTTACTGTTTCAAGTGAGCAACTCACTCCAGATATATTCATCAACAATTGATATTATATTACCCACTTTACTGTTTCAAGTGAGCAACTCACTCCTGAGGGTAATTAAGCTATTGTTATTTATTAACATGCATTGGACCTATTCTACTTGCTTGGTGTACAAAGAGTCTAGGCTTGTTGCTAACGTGACTCTGTTTCCAACACTCTCCCAAGCTGGAGAATAGCTATTTCCCATTCCAAGCTTGCATAATATTCTTTCAAAATATGGACTACAATCCTTTGGTATGAATGTTTGCACAGTGGCCTTCTTGAGGTACATACCAGTACAAATCAAACCACAAATGAGCTATTCATTGATAAAATGTCGGTCCATCCCAGATTATGCGCAATGCTGAATTGCATTTATACATTATGTTATCAGAGTTAGCCTCTGATGTGATTGATAATTGAATTTGTTACATCGCCTATCATGCTTTCAGGGACCTCCGTGCACCATACAAGATATTATCCTGTGTTTTGATTGTGTGGCCATTGCAGGTTGACCGCCACACGTCAATATTTGGCACACAAGCTCCACTTTACTCTTCTTTTTGTTGTGCCATTGGACAAAACCGTACCGCCCCACCTCTGTTGAGCTTTCAGCCAAACTTCCTATTTTCAACATCCTACTTTTTTCTGGCGATTTTCCAGAGATCCGATGTTTTTTCCAGCCGTGTTGTCTACTTGTTTGACGTCTTCAGGCCGGTTATGGTTATACAATATTTCTAAAATAACTCCTTTCCCTTCTCTACCACAGGCTTATAAAAACGCCAAACATCTGGCAAATGGGATTAGGGAGAGGATGAAAGCTGATAACGTATTTTCCAACAGAGCTTTATCTGACCAATTTGCTGAAGTTGATCCATTTAGGAAAACTCCAGTTTCCAATTTGCTTGATTGAGGAAACTAGTTGATTCTGTCTTGTTCTTATGCTTTTCAAATGCAACTATTATCAGTTAGTTTGATGCTAAGATCGGACTTCCCAAATTCGAATATTTTATGTTGTACTCAATACTGTTTAAATAGGTTTTATGAATTCACGGGAGAGTAGATATTTTCTCCATTTCTTAGAAAAATGGTGAGGTTTTGTTATTTGATTTTGGGTGTATAATCTCTCCATTGTAGAAATGTATGCTTTTATATTCAAACTATGAATTTAGAGTTTTTCATTGGAAATTATATGATATATAAGATGGTGAAGCTTATCTGTTATCTGCTGCATCTCACAATATAGCTAAAAAGTTATATTATTTTTAAAAGGGGAGAATACATTGTGTTATTTTTTCTCCTTTTTCTAAGCTGTTTTTATGAAGCTCTCACGACTGATAACTACAAGATTGATAACTATAAGATGGGAGCAGGTCTGATTTGGAAAATAAAGAATTTGATCAAACAAGATTGGGAGATTTGGACGCGCTTGCAAGATTACGAGTTAATCACGGTGAAAGAAGTATTCTTAGAATTTGTTATTAGAGTAAATCTTATCACCAGAATTCGATTCTTATGTGAATTTCTAAGAAATTGAGCATTTTACTTTTCCATTTGCGTTCTTACAACATATGGTGCCCATTTGAAATGAATTAACGGAGTAAAAACTAAACTTCATAGTTTTAACAAAATTAAGGTGTCATTATGATTTTGTTGAATTCAGATCTAAATATTGTTTTTTCAGTCTAGTATTAACCTGGATCATTTAATCTCTTAAATAAAAATATATAATATTAATCTTCTAAATATTGTTGAATTTGTCGAAGTTCAAATAGTTGGTGATGAGGAAATTTGAAATGTATGATCTGGGAAATTTTTCGTATTTCCTAGGCATGGAATTTCAAATTACTAAGCAAGGTATGATGTTGCATTAAAGGAAATACGTCAAAGAGATACTCAAGAGATTCATGATGGATGATTCAAATCTTCCATTCTTATTTGTCGAAATAAATTTGAAACTAGAGAAACATGGAGAGGAGGACAAAGTCGATGTAACTTTGTTCAAACAAATTGTAGGATCTCTGAGGTATGTGTGCAATAGCAGGCCTGATATATGTTTCTCGGTCAGATTGGTGAACAGATACATGAGTGAACCAATGTTGTCACACATGAAGGCTGCAAGAAGAATCCTGAGATACCTAAAAGGATCGATAAATTATAGAATTTTCTTTCCACGAGATCCTAAAAGCAAAGAAGCTACGATTACTTCCTATTCAGATGCTGATTGATGTAGAGATAAGGAAGATTGAAAAAGTACAATTGATTACTTTTTTCGAATATTTGGTGTCCCAATTTCATGGTTCTCGAGAAAGCAACTTGTGGTGACATTATCATCGTGTGAGACTGAATATATAGCAGGATCCTATGTTGCGTGTCAAGCAATTTGAATTACATCTATGCTAGAAGAGACGAAAGTCGAAGTGAAGAAATCTCTAGTGTTGTAGATCGGCAACAAGTCATCCATAAATCTTGCAAAGAATCCAGTTCTGCATGGAAGGAGTATGCACATCGAAACTAGATTTCACTTCTTAATAGATAAGGTAAATCGAGGTGAATACCGACAAATATCTAACTTTGAAAAAGAAATTAAGAATAGTTCAGATCAATTATGTTTAACACGTGTTTAATAACTTAGATTATAATTCAAATAAAATAATCCAAACCTAAGTCCAAATTAATTAGAATTTGTTATGTTGATTAGTATACAAATTACATTAATTGTATATAAAAACATATTGGAATTCAATTTTTTATTATCACGTTCAATAATAACAATTTTATGAATAACTTTTCATCCTCTCTCATTCCTTCTCTCACTTGCATCAACCACTAACACCAATAACAATTGTGAAATTCAAACGTTCTCAAACAAGGTTTTGTGCTTTGAATTTTCAATGGTGAAAAACAAATCTTCCTAACATCACTAAACTTTAAGAAAGTGGTGAAAAACTATAGGTTATTATTTGTTTAGTTTTCATTCCGTCAATAAAAATGTTAGTTTGGTAGCTCAATTTCAAACTAATTGACAATTTCCAAGTTCACCTACCATTTTACTTTAACTTATTCACAATTTCCAAGTTCACCTACCATTTTACTTTAACTTATCCACAATTTCTAATATACTTGCATATGATAAACCAGAAACAGAAAGAACATTATTTCATTTTCAACTTTCAGCCATAACAATGATACAACTATTCCTCTTTTTCACACTCACCTTCATTCTCATCATCACCACCACCTTCATCCTCCGTTCAAAACAGCCCAAGCATGACAGAAAACACCCACCAGGTCCACCAGGCTATCCTCTCATTGGTAACCTCCACATGTTAGGCACCCTCCCACACCGTTCCCTCGAAGCCTTATCCAAAAAACATGGTCCCATCATGTCACTCCGTTTAGGCCAAGTCCCAACAGTCATAGTCTCTTCCTCTTCAGCAGCCGAACAATTCCTCAAAGCAAACGACCTCGCTTTCGCCAGCCGTCCTAAACTCGAAGCCACGCACTACCTATCTTACGGTTCTAAGGGGTTAATTTTTGCTGAATATGGCGCGTATTGGCGTAACATGAGGAAGATTTGCACTCTGCAGCTTTTAAGTGCTTCTAAAGTTGAGACGTTTGCGTCTTTGAGGAAGAGAGAAATGGAGTTAGCTTTGAAGTTGTTGAAGAAAGCTGCGAGTTCGGGTGAGGTTGTTGATGTGAGTGAGTTTGTGCATGATGTTATAATGGATATTGTGTGTAAGATGGTGTTGGGGTGTAGTATTGATGAGGTTTTTGATTTGAAGAGGCTGATTCAACAAGGGACGAACCTTTCTGGTGCTTTTAATCTTGCTGATTATGTTCCTTTTCTTCGAGTTTTTGATCTTCAGGTATGTATTCTATAACAGCCATCATGATTTGAGTCATCATGATTCGACTCACTTGAATAATACCTGCAAGAGTTTCTTGATTAAAATCACAAACTTCCTGATTTGAATAATTTTGCGTTGACTTTTATTGCCAGGGTATAAGAAGAAGATACAAGAGAACTCATAAAGAACTTGACCAAGTCTTGGAGAAGATAGTTAAGGAGCATAAAGAAAGTTCAGATGTACAGAATGGAGGACAGAAGCATAAGGACTTTATAGACATTCTACTGTCACAGATGCACCAGCCGATCGGTCCCTCTGATGAGCAAAACAACGTCGTTGATCGAACAAATATAAAGGCTATAGTCTTAGACATGATTGCTGCTGCATTCGAAACTTCTGCTACCGTCGTGGAGTGGGCTTTATCCGAGCTCATGAGACATCCAAGAGTAATGAAAAATCTCCAACAAGAGTTAGATAATGTGGTTGGGGTCAACAAAGTGGTGGAGGAAAATGATTTGTCAAAGTTAAGTTACTTAGATATTGTGATCATGGAGACGTTAAGATTATATCCCGCAGGGCCACTCGTGCCACGCGAGTCAACGGAGGATGCTACAGTTGATGGTTATTTCCTAGAAAAGAAATCAAGAATCATTGTGAATTTATGGGCGATAGGAAGAGATTCTAAGATATGGTCCGACAATGCGGAAGAATTTTATCCAGAGAGATTCATGGATAAAAATTTAGATTACCGCGGAAATGATTTCCAGTTTATACCATTTGGTTTTGGTCGAAGAGGATGTCCTGGAATAAACATGGGACTAATTACAGTGAAACTTGTTGTCACTCAACTGGTACATTGTTTTTCTTGGAAACTTCCCTCGAATATGACTCCAAATGATTTGGACATGACAGAAAAATTTGGTCTTTCAATCCCAAGAGCCAAACACTTGCTTGCGGTGCCAAAATATCGTCTTCACGGGGAAGCAACATGACGAGTCGACTTTATTTTAGTTCAAAGTTGTATTCATTTATGATATCATGATATAAATAGGAAGATCTGTATACATTTTAAAAATACAATGTTAAAATGTTAAGTATTTGCTCTAGCTCTAAATATTTCTGTCGCATTTGTCAAAACGATGCAGTTACTGCAAACTATTCGAGGATCTGAAGCGGTTGAACAATCTGGTCCAAAATCCACCAGAGGTTATCACAACTGGTTCAAGGGGGTCCTTAAAGTTAGCTTTCTCACCCAATTCTTCAAATGAATCCACCAAGTTTTGAAGCCTTGCTACAAACTCAATCAGAAGTGATGTAAACGTCGTTAGAGACAACGAACTAGCACTTTCTAAAGTTTTTGATTCTTCCACTTTTGCCTTGGCATCTGGTTTGTAGTAAACACGAGCAGGCCAAGACTGTTGTTGTTGTTGTTGTTGTTTCATACACATGTTTTCATCGGCAATAGAAGCAGGCACAGCTGAGTTGTTAATACTATGGGTAGTTTCTCCATCCCAATTGTTTTGAACTTCAATCGATCTAAGATCAAGTACAGCTTCACTTAGAGACTTGTACTCTAGAAATTTTCTATCTTGGTCCATGTCAAAGAGACCCTTGGAATGATTATCATCGGTTTCTTCTCTGGGACGGCTTCCGATTTCCCAGAGCTCCGAGTTTACTAGGAGGTAAGATTTTTTATCGATCTTCTGTTGCAATGCTTCGGCAGCTCCGTGCACTTCGTATAACAAATCTCCCCTGCCTAGTTTCTCCATCTTCTTGACTTTGTTTCCAAGTTCGCGCAACACTTTCGCTCCTTCGGAACCTACCCTCTTCAGCTCATTTTTGAAAACCTGTCTCTTCTCAGCCGGAGCCTATATATCAAGAAGAAAGATTAGAATTTTCATCGCATCGAAAACAAAATTTAAGTTTCAATTGCACTGCAATGATTAGAATTACCTGAATTTCAGAAAGTATGCACCCATGCATGGCCATGACCATAAATGCACAATGTCTTAGAGCTCCACTTACTTTGACATAATTCTTCCATGGATATTTAAGACTTTTG